AGTTTATCATGATGTCAAAAATTGCATAGTACGAGATCATCTTTATACCATTCGATCGTTAAATTACTCTCATCATTGCAACCAAAATAAGCAGGCATACAGGGTGCCACATAACCTTTGCCTTCCCCTTCTACAACCTAAAGAACAGATAATATCAGAAAGTATTTATACCAGGTTAAAGCCCATCAAAAACTGGATTTATGAGTGTAATTGATATTCGGTATGATGCTTATTGGCTGTAGAATTATGGAAGTTTCTATCGCGTGTGTCAATTCTAGTATAGTGGTGCTGCAGTAAAAGTCCCATAACTTCGTCAGAACAAAAGCTCTTTTGATTAGGTCTGTTTTGTTTTGATCAGAAATGATTGCTCTTCACTATCTAACTGCAAAATCAAAACTCCGAACACGTTTGAGAATACATCCTATTCCGCGATGTTGATCATTGCGGAATCAGTTTCCGACAAGAAACCAGTTCCCAGTAATTCCGTACTAACGGAATTCCCGGAATTCCTTCCCCGCGGAATTCCCCGGAATAACTAGGAATTACTTGAAGCATCTATTCATATACGCCAGTGATCAAGCCTCTACAACTTCTTCTATGACGGAATTCCCGGGAATAACTAGGAATTACTAGGAATTCCGGAATTACTAGGAATTCCGGAATTACTTGAAGGATCTATTGATACATGACAGTGATCAATACCATACAGCTTCTTCTACGACGGAATTCCCGGAATTCCTTCAACGCGGAATTCTTCGGAATTCCCAGGAATAACTAGAAATTACTGGGAATTCCGGAATTTCTTGAAGTATCTATTGATATACGCCAGTGACCAAAATTATACAGCTTCTTCTACGACAACGTTAAGCTTTTTCAAACTGTCACATTTTAATCATCACATTATTTTTATTCACGCGAAATACATACCAGTCGCAACACAGACTTACAGGTGCGAAAGCCCCGTACAACAGTAACAAATGGCAATGCTTTACAACTGTCACAATACCTCGTGACTCACTCTCATACCGCGCTCTCCCACCCCGCCCCACACATTGTATGAATGTGTACTCCGGCACACATTCTTACAATGTTTTCCTTTTGTGGCTTAGATATGTTCATAAAGGTATCATATTGGAATTCAGTATGTCTTCGAGAGACAAAGTAGAGAATGAATGAAACTACTACAGTGCTACAAATATATTATAAAGTGTATTCGGCCAAAAGCGTGGCAGTTGGGGACTTTCCAAGGTTGAATCCACTTTGCACTCACCCTCAGACAGTTTTCTTCTCCATCATCAGGTGCTGCAATTGTGTCAGACAGGTTTTGTCTTCGCCCTCAACCGCTGTAGTATAGCCAGCTGCTTCTTACCCACACTGACAGCTGTCCTAACGTGGTCTCGTATTTACCGCCTCAGTATAAGGTTATATGCCATTCCTCACTGTAGTACATCAGAAGATACTACAAGTCATTCCGGAATTCCTAGTAATTCCTAGTAATTCCTAGTATATCCGCTTCGAAGGAATTCCGGGAATTCTGCCTCAGTATAAGGTTATATGCCTTTCCTCATTGTAGTACATCAGTAGATACTACAAGTAATTCCCGAATTCCTAGTAATTCAAAGTAATTCCGCTTTGAAGGAATTCCGGGAATTCCGCCTCAGTATAAGGTTATATGCTTTTCCTCACTGTAGTACATCAGTAGATACTACAACTAATTCCGGACTTCCTAGTAATTCCGCTTTGCAGGAATTCCTGGAAATCCGCCTTAGTATAGGCTTATATGCCATTCCCCATTGTAGTACATCAGTAGATACTACAACTAATTCCGGAATGGCTAGTAATTCATAGTAATTCCTGGTAATTCCGCTTTGAAGGAATTCCTGGAAATACGCCTTAGTATAGGCTTATATGCCATTCCCCATTGTAGTACATCAGTAGATACTACAACTAATTTCGGAATTCCTAGTAATTCGTAGTAATTCCTGGTAATTCCGCTTTGAAGGAATTCCTGGAATTCCGCCTTAGTATAGGCTTATATGCCATTCCACATTGCAGTACATCAGTAGATACTACAACTAATTCCGGAATTCTTAGTAGTTCCTAGAAATTCCGTTTTGAAGGAATTCCGGGAATTCCGCCCCAGTATAAGGTTATATGCCTTTCCTCATTGTAGTACATCAGTAGATACTAGAACTAATTCTGGAATTCCTAGTAATTCCTAGTAATTCCTAGTAATTCTTAGTAATTCCGCTTCGAACGAATTCCGGGAATTCCGCCTGAGTATAGGCTTATATGCCATTCCACACTGTAGTACATCAGTAGACACTAGAACTAATTCGGGAATTCCTAGTAATTCCGTTTTGAAGGAGTTCCGGGAATTCCGCCTCAGTATAATGTTATACGCCATTCCTCACTGTAGTACATCAGTATATACCACAAATAATTCCGGAATTCCTGGTAATTCCTAGTAATTCGTAGTAATTCCTAGTAATTTCGACTAATTCCGCTTCGAAGGAATTGTGGGAATTCCGCCTCAGTATAAGGTTATATGCCTTTCCTCATTGTAGTACATCAGTAGATACTACAACTAATTCCGGAATTCCTAGTAATTCCTAGTAATTCTTAGTAATTCAGCTTTGAAGGAATGCCGGGAATCCCGCCTCAGTATAAGGTTATATGCCTTTCCTCACTGTAGTACATCAGTAGATACTACAACTAATTCCAGAATTCCTAGTAATTCCTAGTAATTCCGCTTCGAAGGAATTCCGGGAGTTCCGCCTCACTATAAGGTTATATGCCTTTCCTCATTGTAGTACATCAGTAGATACTACAACTAATTCCGGAATTCCTAGTAATTCCTAGTAATTCCTAGTAATTCTTAGTAATTTTGCTTTGAAGGAATGCCGGGAATCCCGCCTCAGTATAAGGTTAAATGCCTTTCCTGATTGTAGTACATTGGAGTGGCATATAACCTTATACTGAGGCGGAATTCCTTCGAAGCGGAATTACTAGCAATTACTAGGAATTACTAGGAATTCCGGAATTACTTGTAGTATCTACTGATGTGCTACAATGAGGAAAGGCATATAACCTTATACTGAGGCGGAATTCCGGGAAATATTGTACTACATCAGTATATACTACAACTAATTCCGGAATTCCTAGTATTTCCTCTTTGGAAGGATTTCCGGGAATTCCGCCTCAGTACTGGTTTATGTGCCATTCCTCACTGTAGTACATCAGTAGATACTACTAGTAATTCCGCTTTGAAGAAATGCCGGGAATTCCGCCTCAGTATAAGGTTATATGCCTTTCCTCATTGTAGTACATCGGTAGGTACTACAGGTAATTCCCCGATTCCTAGTAATTCCGCTTTGAAAGAATTCCTGGAATTCCGCCTCAGTATAGGCTTATATGCCATTCCTCATTGTAGTACATCGGTAGGTACTACAAGTAACTCCGGAATTCCTAGTACTTCCTAGTAATTCCGGATGTAAGGAATTCGAGGAATTCCACGTTAGAATAGATGCTGGAAGTAATTCCGGAATTCCTAGTTACTGATTGCCGCATGGAACTGATTCCGCGATGTTCAACATTACGGAATAGGATGACTGCTGACACGTTTTCCGTTTCTTGCTTGAGCACATTGTTGAAAACGTAGAGAAATTTTTGAAACTCGGGCGTACCATCTGCTTTAAAACTTTTTGTTTACAGACCACGAGAAAGTGCATATTCAAAAGTACAAAAGAACCTAATGCTCACTTTTAGTACACTTTTTACGGAAATGATAGCGGACGAAAAAGGTTGAAGTCGGAAAAAATACCAAATATACGAAGTTTTCAGTTTTTCCGCCTTTCGTATAGTTTACGTAGTTCTCTTGACTGCAGTTCTAAAACTAAAGTTTAGGTATGGCTCTTTGCAGAGCATCTTTTAAAAAAACACTAATCTTAGGATCCTAAAGGAATTACAGAATTCCGGGAATTCTGCAGTACATCAGTAGATACTACAAGTAATTCCGGAATTCCTAGTAACTCCTAGTGATTCCTAGTAATTCCGCTTTGAAGGAATACCGGGAATTCCGCCTCAGTATAAGGTTATATGCCTTTCCTCATTGTAGTACATCAGTAGATACTACAAGTTATTCCGGAATTCCTAGTAATTCCTAGTAATTCCGCTTGGAAGGAATTCCTGGAATTCCGCCTCAGTGTAAGGTTATATGCCTTTCCTCATTGTAGTACATCAGTAGATACTACAAGTTATTCCGGAATTCCTAGTAATTCCGCTTGGAAGGAATTCGAGGAATTCCACGTTAGAATAGATGCTGGAAGTAATTCCGGAATTCCTAGTTACTGATTGCCGCATGGAACTGATTCCGCGATGTTCAACATTACGGAATAGGATGACTGCTGACACGTTTTCCGTTTCTTGCTTGAGCACATTGTTGAAAACGTAGAGAAATTTTTGAAACTTCGGTCTCCAGCGTACCATCTGCTTTAAAACTTTTTGTTTACAGACCACGAGAAAGAGCATATTCGAAAGTACAAAAGAACCTAATGCTCACTTTTAGTACACTTTTTACGGAAATGATAGCGGACGAAAAAGGTTGAAGTCGGAAAAAATACCAAATATACGAAGTTTTCAGGTTTTCCGCCTTTCGTATAGTTTACGTAGTTTTCTTGACTGAAGCTCTAAAACTAAAGTTTAGGTGTGGCTCTTTGCAGAGCATCTTTTAAAAAAACACTAATCTTAGGATCCTAAAGGAATACGAGAAAAATAGAAAATACTAAGAAGCTCATTCATTATGACGCGCTCGATAGAAACTTCCATAATTCTACAGGCAATTAGCATCATACCGAATATCAATTACACTCATAAATCCAGTTTTTGATGGGCTTTAACCTGGTATGAATACTTTCTGATATTATCTGTCCTTTAGGTTGTAGAAGGGGAAGGCAAAGGTTCTGTGGCACCCTGTACTATGTAATTGAACTAGTCGAGATTTATGTTGAAACGGATTTTGTTGTTAGTTTAAAGACAGTGAATTTTGATTGTTTTGGAGATGGAACAGTGTATATAGTCGTACATGCTAGGCGTTTGATTTCATCAGGATTTGTCGTTAGGTCGAGGGCTGCGGGAACAAGCTCGACACGTTGTTGAATTATTAACTGTGTTACATAGACAGATAAAGCTAGTTGTCTAGCGGCTGGACCAAAAGTTAGGTTTCTTCGCTGTATTACGTCTTGGATTGCCAACGTTATATCCTCTGGGGCAAGAAATCCAAGTGAGAACGGATTGTGAAGTATATTATTCATGGCTGTATACAGGAACATACCTTCCATTCGTTGTTCGAGTCTATCGATTCGGGCATCCATTTCCTGTTTCACGTAATTAATTTTATCATTGGGATATTTATAGCCAGCCGAAAGTTCGTTGACAATTGTTACTGTTTTGTTGTACATTTCTTTAGGCTAAAGAAATGTACAACAAAACAGTAACACTGTGGACATGGATAGTCCTGTCGTAGTATTGTCTGTAAGGAGAAATATCTTGAATATCTTTGTAGAGGAAGTTTACAGTATAATTAATTTATATGGATAATGCAGAGCAGAGCACTATCTTCTTGC